CCCCTCCAGGACCGAGTTTGGGCACCTCTGCTCTAGATGGTAGAGACTGCTTACCAGCAAAAATTGCTGGTTGTGAAGCTAGAAAGGAGGTTTTGCTGGTTAAGCCAGCCTGGTGGTAAACAGTACTCTTATTAAGTTTGTATTTATTGATTTATTTTTTATAGAAAATGCCTTGAATCATTTTATTTTGTACCCCATCTGCCCCATTGTTCATATTCAAACATAAATATATGTAAAATGTGTTGATATTTCTAACAAATTGTTTTAGTAACACTGTAATGCTATTATAGTTTTTATTAATATTTTAATTAATTTTTAGTTTTATATTTTCTGTTCTCATTTTAATTTTAGCTATCTAGTTTTTTTTTTTTTTGCAATTTATATTGCAAATATATATTATTTTTTTTTTTCAGTTTGGTTTTATTTTTTATTGTCAAATAAAATTAAATGAAAATGATAAATGTTGACTATTAGCTCTAATAAAGTTATTTTTTATAGCATTTTGGTTAAAGCCTATTTTATTAATTTTTTTATGCATTTTGATTTCGTTTTATGGTTCCGGTTTTACATTTTAGTTAACTATAATAGCCCTAGCCAAATAAAACAAAAACAAAAGGAAAATAAAATTATTTTTGCAGTGATGCTTCAGACCAGCATCAAAACAACACATGCTGGTATTTTCAGTGTGGTTTATTTTGTTCTTCATCAGGCCTGGTCCTGGAAGGAGACTGTCCTGGAGTCAGGGACATCAGGTCGCTACACGGTGGAGACAGTAAGCACAGAGGACGGAGTGCTGTCCACCCTCACCATGAGTAACATCGTACCTGCCGACTTCCAGACCATCTACAACTGCACCGCCTGGAACAGCTTTGGCTCCGATACAGAGATCATTCGCCTCAAGGAACAAGGTGGGAGCCAAGGTTCGCCAGGTTTCACCTTATTTTCTTTAAAACATGGCTGTGGTATAGTAGTGGTGCAGTGTTTTATAACCATGGTTTCTGAAAACACTGGAATAGACTAGAATATTTTTTTCTCCATTACTTTCCATTTATCAAATTAGCAAGTAGCATCTGAATCATATTAACATATTTTAATGTTTTTATACCAGATTTAATTCACAAATGAAATAACTGACTGTCATGACCTAAATATGACTTTCATTTACAATAATCAGTAATACACTTCTGCATTAGTATATTTTCACACCATGTGCCATGGCAGCTTTTAAGTGAATCATTGAATCAGTGAGTTGCTGACTTAAGAGCAGTCTGATTCACTAATGAAACACTCAGTGCGGTAATGCATCAGGTTCACTGGAAAGAATCAGTGTTCATCTTCTTTTATTTAATACATGCCTGTGATAGAGTAGCACTGTGGTGTTTCATAACCATGGTTTTTGAAAGCACTGGAATAGAGCAGAATCTGAGGGGGACGAAATAATATTTTCTTCATTACTTTCCATTTATTACTTTATACATTATGAATCACTTTACACAAGATTAGCAAGTCACATTCAAATCATATTAATGTCTTTTTATGTATTTATACCAATTTTAGATTACAAATTTCATTCAGCTCTAGCCAGATGATTATTTTAGAGCAACATCAATAGTAATTGCACATTTAACTGCAACTTCAATAAATCATATAAATGTATTAACAACACTTAGCACTATTTAATTTGCAGACTTGTTACAGTGATTAATTTCTCTCTTGTGCATTTCTTGCAATCTATCTCCCCATGTGCTTTCATAGTTTGGATTTGTTTACATGCAATACATTGTTATCCTGTTTTGACTGACTTTAATGGTTCTTTAATAGATCTGCTTCCCCAAAAGCGAACATTTGGTCATAATTTGTACTAATTTCAAACCCTAATGATTTGAAATTTTACATGATGTGCTGGTCGTTCTGTTCCATGACATTACAACGAATGGGGACTAAAATGTTCAAGTTTAAAGATGCAAATGCATAAATATTAAAAAATATATAAAACTGTTCTAGGGTGACTATACACCCCTTTTTCCCCCTGACATGTCCTGGCTGATTTCTAAATATCCAAAAATATCAGAGTTTTGGCTTTGTTTTCCTAAATTGTCTCGCTGAAGGAAAAGACTGAAAAGTAGTTTGACCAATAGCATTCAAGCGTTGTACATAATCGACCAATCATGGCATGTAAAAAGGCGGGATCTACAGAGAATGGTCAAAGCAACACAAATACGCAAGTACTGTACATATAATGCATGAGTACTGTAAAGAGCATGTAAATAATAAAACTAAGCCAAAACCTGGACATTTTAGCCAATTTAGAAATCCCTAGAATCCCTAGTTATAGGTTACCCTAGACTTTTCTGAAGACTTCTAAAGCCAAACAATGTCTTTGTGTGACAAACATATACAATATATATTTCTGGGTTCATAAGAACTGCACACAATAATTCAGACAATAAACAGGCATAAACTGTGAATACGCAGAGGTCGTAATGCTTAGTTTGTACTGGGAGCCAGTAATTAACTTTGTGTAGGTACAGCTTGTTGTCTGACTCAGCCTCTCATTATCATTTGGCTGTAAAATCTGGCCTCCATCTTTCGGTTTAAATATACCAACAAGAGCACAAATAAAACAGTTGAGTTGGCTCTAATTAACCTAAAGCCACAGCTTCTCAAAACACTCCTGGGATTGTTGGAAGCCACATGTATACGGAATACACCCATGTCAGAGTCTAACGATAACATCTGATGCAGGGTTCAGTTCATGCACACGCAAGGCATGTTATGTGTGTGTCATGCGTTAAAACTTATTCGATAATTGGCATAGCTGCAAAATGTCAGATTAAAGTGAAGGTACCTGAGTTTTTGCTAGAAGGTGATGGTGGTGTTAATTGCCTGTGCAAGTTATTTTGAATAGACGCATTGAAGGTGTGAATGTCTCCTTGACACGGCATTTGACATTCCCATTTGTTCCATTCAAGTGCGAGTCTGGAAATATGTCCAGGTCTGTGTTTGAGCGCTTATTTACTGGATTTACCCGTCCTGTCCATGCTGTGTTATTGTAGAAGGCTCTGTTTTGTTTTCCAACAGATTCCCTCCCTGTTGCCGTGATCATCGGCGTGGCAGTTGGCGCTTTCGTTGCTTTCATCGTCCTCATGGGAACCATTGGCGCATTCTGCTGTACGCGCTCTCAGAGAAGTATGTACCTCTCAGTCCATCGCGTTCCTGCATGTCCATCACCAGAGAACACTAAGTGCTCCTCAGTCAGACAAAGAGCAGGGTGTTAGGGTGTCACTTCACAGAAACCGAGCCTTTATTTCTATATCTTCCTTTTCATTGAGTGTTTGTGTAGGGTTGGGCGGCATGATGGTTTACAGCAGAAATGCATCATCTGTCTGCAATGCTGCTGAAAATCCTACAGTAGAAAACTCTAGCTGTTTTCCAATGTAGACAATGTCTTTTGCTTTGCCGCGCTGTGTGTTTATACTAATTCTAGCTAATTTAGGATGACCATACGTCCTCTTTTTCCTAGACATGTCCTGGCTGGCATTTCTAAATTGCCTAAAATGTCTGGGTTTTGGCTTTGTTTTCATATTGTTGTCATACTTGCTGAAGGTAATGACTGAAAAGTTGCTTGACCAATAGCTTGCAGGCATTGTATACATAATCAACCAGTCGTGGCATGTGAGAAGGTGGGATCTGCAGAGAATAATCAAAACAATGCAAATACGCAAGTACATATAATGTATGAGGAAGTCAATGGGAAAACGAAGCAAAAACCCAGACATTTTAGGCAGTTTAGACACGTACGTATGGACACCCTAAGCTAATTGGTCAGATTGTACTGTTGTTTACAGTGATCTACAGTAGAAATGTTGCAACTTGTTGCATTAATTGAATTAATTAACTGAACAGGTGTGCAAATGTACATGAATTGGCTATTAGCGTAGCTTATTCAATTATACTTTATATGTATCTTATATTTTGGTTTTTACAGCTGCTTTTTAGTGCATTTAGTGCCAAAAAAAAAAAAAAAAACTTAGGAAGCAGAATATTGCATGAATAGAACAGAAAAAAAAAAAATGTATGTGACTATTCTCATAATTTTGACTTTATTCTTTAAACATTACCAATGCATCCATGAATTGTTTTGTTTTTATTCTATTTTTTTTTAATGTGGCAGTAAATTTCTGACTCTTTTTTTTTGTACTTGTGTGCTTAAAGAATAATTTTATTTTTACTAATGCTACTACTAAAGCTTTTGTCATGCCGCCTACCCTTATCTCTGTGTTTCTTATTTGTTTTCCTTTTACCGCGACCATCCTCTGTCATGATCAAAAGAGAAAACAGCTCATCCATGTACAGGTTAGCGTCAGACAGTGAACAATGAGCTTGCAGTTTCCGATTGTTGGTGGCATTGGGTTGAGCATGTTGTTGTTGTATGCCACAGAAGACGCTCACCTGGTTATGCCTACACTGCCCACTTCCATCTGTGCTCAGCAGAGAGAACTTGCAAGCAAAATTAAGACAGAAAGTAAGACCTGTTACCTGACCGTCACCAATTATCTGTAAACATTGTTCTTCAATGCGTCAACATGAGCTGTGTGATTCTCTGTGGTTCCTCTAGGGTTCCTCTTATCTTAGTTCTGTGGTGTTATGCTGCCTTCAAGTCCTCATGGGAAGTTCCTACTCAAAGTTGTGGATGTTTGGATGTTGTAATTATAATGGAACATGCTTTTAGTTGCAATAAAATGGACAAGTTCATATTTCTCTCTATTTAAATTCAAGAAACTATTTTTGAAGTACAAGGTGTGTGATTGATATTTAAGCTAGCTACTTTAATATTTATGTGTGACCACATTTTTCCCTCTCCACCTTTATTTATGTATTTATTTATTTGATAATACAATAACATTGATATAAAAAAGATATATTGTTATAAAACCATATAATTCTGTAAATCTTTAAAGCCACCTGTAAAGCCTGACATGTCAAATAATAATAATCTTTTATTGAAGTTGTGTGTGTGTGTGTGTGTGTGTGTGTGTGTGTGTGTGTGCATGTTTATGTGGTTTATGAGGACACAAATTTGTATAATAACATGGGTATGACATAGGTATTACAACGAGAAGGTGATTTATGAGGACATTTTGAGTGTCCCCGTAATTTAAAAGGCTTATAAATCATTCAGAATGAGTTTTTTTTTTAATCTAAAAATGCACAAAGTTTCCTGTGAGGGGTAGGTTTAGGGGTAGGGTTGGTGTAGGGCAATAGAAAATACGGTTTGAACAGTATAAAAACCATTACGCCTATGGAGAGTCCTCATAAACCATAAAAACCAACATGAGTGTGTGCGTGCGTGCGTGCGTGTGTGTGTCTTCGTGTTTAAAAGTTTGTATTCATTTTATTTATTTATTTTATTTTATTTCTTTGTTTGTTTATTTATTTACCTAAATGGAGAGTCCTCATAAACCATAAAAACCAACATGAGTGTGTGCGTGCGTGCGTGCGTGCGTGCATGTGTGTGTCTTCGTGTTTAAAAGTTTGTATTCATTTTATTTATTTATTTTATTTTATTTCTTTGTTTGTTTATTTATTTACCTATTTTTTATTTATTTTTGGTTCTTTTTTTTTTATATGGTTCATAAATGAGGATATACTGTATCATTTGTAATTTGTCTGTACATATTTGAGAGGGAAAAAAAAAAATTCAAAAGCCCAAACTGTCTAAAAGTATGCATTTTGCTGCAGATGCTGATATTTACAGTATATGGCCAGAAATTCTGAAATTCTGAAAGCTTCTAATGTAAACTAATGAGATCTTTATAACAGTATAACAGATTACTTGTATATAATACATATAAATATCAATTGTCACGCTTATGTCTCCCGATAACGTCTTAGTAAGATGATATTTAAATGAGATTAACAAATTAACATTCCTCAAAAACTTTATGGATAATATTTGATAGTCACATTTTAGCATGACTTTTCAAAAAAAAAAAAAAGTATGGATAATAAAGTAAACCTAATGTGCATTCGTCCATCAGTTCATCTTGAAATATTACTAATAATGTAACAGTTATTTTTATATTTACTTTATAAAAATCAGTAAAGATTTTACAGCAAAAAGATCAATCAGAGGACAAAAGGCATTTAGTAAATTAAGTTTTGAACATGTTGATAACTTAGAGGCCTTATAAAATGCAGTAGGGGATATTATAAGTTAATTCTTAAAATTATAAATGTATGAATCATTATATACTGTTACTGACAGAAAAGCTGGGACTCGTTTATGTGTGCTGATCTCATACATATGCTAATTTTGACATGACTTGAAGGCAGCATTCGTTTTCATGGATTAAAGCAATGTGAAGTGGCATGGAGTAAATAGCATTTTTTTTTTTTATATATATTTCACATCAAGTACATTACATTTAATGACACTGGAGTAACACTTGTCACTTTCCACTCAGACCTCAAAGGCGTGGTATCAGCCAAGAACGACATTCGAGTGGAAATCGTACACAAAGATCACAACGCAGCCCGAGAAAACGAGGATCACTCCGCCATGAAACAGCTCATGGTGAGTCACATTTCTGAAGGAAGAAAACAGTAAACATCCCACTTGCCATTACCCCATCAGCACCCCCAACTCAACAAGCTAGCTCATTATGCTAGTCCCTGTCACATCCGTAGCTAATGAATGCTAATCATCCCCACCCCAACACTAATAGCGCCTATCTCCCTCGCCACAACGTCAAACCCATGAATAATGCAGCATAAGTGTGAGAACCCTGCTGGCCTGCATGCCTATATTTAGCCCCCAGCCTGTATTTCCTGGGAGGACATGGGCATAGATGTAACCATAGTGATGCCAGTGATCAAGTTTTCTCCTGGAGCCCTCGGTGAACTTCTGTCAAAACACATGCTGCCACCATCTCTGGAAATTTCACTCATTGTTACACAAGCCTCCAGGGCCCAGAATCAGAGTTCTGTTTGGGCTCAAGATGTATAGCAAGACTTTAGACAAAAAGTGAGAGGACACCTCATGAAGATGTCGTTGCATTGCAAAGTTTTTGCTAATGATGTGAAGAATATTCACAGGAGATTGCCCCAGTTGAAGTAGTCTTCCTTCTGGAATATCTTTAAGCGTTTCGGAGCAGCAAAACTCACACAGTGAGAGTAACCCAGATTCTAATGTGTGAACGGGTCTGTTGTTTGCCACAGATCGAACGGGGAGAGTTTCAGCAGGAGTCCGTTCTGAAGCAACTTGAGGTACTTCAGGAAGAGGAGAAGGAGTATCAGCACATCAAGGTATGTCTCTATGGGATTTGAAGGAAGTGATATAAGAAAGAGAGAGGTTGTTTGATATATGACACCCCACTAAAACATCATCAATGTATCTTTTAACTATTTAACTATTGTAACTACTAACTATTGTACACGTGTTAATGAGAGAGTGGCATTCCAGCGGGTGATGTAAGACGTATGCGTAAGCTCTGGTGAGAAGTGACCATTGCGTAAGTGCAAGAAATGTCAGAGGATTTCGATATAAGCCAAGAGGAGACTTCTTCCTTTGCTGTAAACAAAACTTGGTTCTTATGAGGCTAGCATATTCTCACCAGAGCTTAAGCTATGCCTACGTCATCCGCTGGAGCGCCACTCTCTCGTGAATCAGTGTACAACAGTTAACGGAAGCTAGAGATTACAGTTTTAGTAAGGTAAGTTTTAAATATGGATGTTTTTTTTTCCTAAACAAACACATCAATTTGCTTCAGAAGGCCTTTATTAACCCCCTGAAGGCGTGTGAAGCATTTTTTATGATGGATGGATGCACTTTATTTGATTTCAAAATCTCAACCCCCATTCACTGCCATTATAAAACTTGGAAGTGCCAGGACATTTTTTTTTTTTTTATATAACTCATATTGTATTGTCTGAAAGAAGAAAGTCACATAAACCTAGGATGGCTTGAGAGTGAGTAAATCATGAGGTATGGATGAACACTTTAACATCCATTGGAACCTTTCCATTACACAAAAAGTTCTTAATAGTGATTCTTCAAATTCTCAAAACATTCTTCACACTAATAAAAACTGGTTATTTTAAGAATCGTTCACTAGTTCTTTGAAGTTTTATTTTTAGCTACAGTAATAATTTATGTGTATAAATAGATATATCAAATAAATAAGATGATTTCCTTGTTCATGTGCAAATAGCATTCTTCTCTCATAATTAATATCTCATACTCGTTGAGCTGCGCTGATAATTCAATTTCTCGACACATTTACTGTTTATATTTTACCTTTGTTAAACACCCAAAACGGGCTTGACTTATAAATAAAAAAAGCCATTAAGAAAGTGTTTCTCAGTAATTTACTCAAACAAGAGCTCTGTTATGGGTCTGATGTGTGTGTGAACTGCTTTGAAATCACATGTCACGAACTGAAGCAGTTTTAATGTGAAGCTGAAGGAATGTGCTAAGTGCTTTAAAAATAACACTATTACACATACCTAATTGATTATGGCAGCCCAAATATATTGGAATTAACTGGCTTGTCCATGCAATGTACATATGCATTAGTCTTGGAATTTAATAAAATAAGGTTTTTAAATTGAAAAAGCATTTGTTTTCATTTTCAGCACTTACGCATTAGCAAATACATGCTCTGTTAAGATTTTGTAATTAGTGTTTGTAGTTTAGGCAGGAAATTGCTTAGACGATGGATATTTAAATTTTTGTTTAGCCGAAGCCCTTTTTATTTTAACAAAATGAATTAAAGCCTTATTAGCAATTATAATTAGCCTTTAGACATTTGCACTGATCATTAAGTATTTTAAGTGTTCAGATACTAATTTAACTAATTTTAGAGTGAGCTTAAAGAATAACTATCGTAATTCTAGTCTGATTAACCTATGATCCCATGGTTAAGCAGACAGCAGTTGCAGTTCTTGGCAGAAGCAGCATAGCTTTTATTCTCTTGTTTGTATTTATCTCAGTGTGTTCTTAAAGTCTGTTTCACGGCCTGCTCTACCTGCTCCCTGCGGGACTGATTTCCTCCCTACATGTAGATGAGTGTGTAAAATGAGCAGTGTGAACAGGGACGGCTCCGTACAGATACGGAGTGCACACAATCCCTGTTGCCTGATAAAACTGCGCCAGACAACGCCTTTCTCGCGTTGTCATAGAGAAGTCACCTAACGGTGATTATCGTCTCTCCCCCAGCGGGATATGGCCTGCGCGCCCGCTCAAAATGGCATCCACGTCCACATTGTGGCGCCTGTTTTGCTTCTTAGCAACCGTGCTGATATAGCACCACAACAATGACAGCAGCCATGGTATCGAGTTCCTTCGCTTTGATTATTTCTTTCTGTCACGGATTTAAAAAGCCTTGATTCTGAAGTCCAATTAAAGCTGAAAAGTACAGACAAACAACCAGATTGTGGATCTAGGTTCTGCTTAATTAGCCTATAATGATATTTTGAGGTTATTGCTAAAGATTGTCTTTGACTACTTTTCTTACCTCTGTTTTGCGTTTGCATGTTTCTTGCCTTTATTAATGCTTCAAAACAGAAGTGATAGCAGAAGAAAAGGAATAGATTACAATGCACAAGCTTTTCTCAAGAAATGTAGCTTTAGTTCATGGTGTAAGATGAAGGTCAAAATAAATGACAAAGCATTTGGAGATAAAAATAGAAATAAAAAAATAATACTGCAATCAAAGACATTGCTATCTATACAGGTTTACATTTTTCAAAGGGCACCAGATAGTCAAAAAATAATAAATGGTTTTAGCCAAAGTTGCATGTGAATAACAGAAGTATTAAATTAGAATTACATAAAATCACAAAATATGTCTTTGAAATACAAATTAAGCTAACCTCCTCATGGTCATCTAGTCCTGTTTACGTAGGGCAGAGTGTAATTGTATTAAGACTTCTATTGTTTGACAACAAACCAAGTACGATTGAGATTGCATTTCCAAGTCTTCAAACATTTCAGATGCTGTGTGTTTGAGTTTAAAAGCTTCAAAATGCATCATAAGAGGCTAAAGGGGAGTTCACACTGACAGTGATTGAACTGCTGGAGGTTACCAACTCGTTGTGCATTTGGTTTCTATTAGTCATTCCCATTCAACTGCATGGCAGCAGATCCATGTACTCCAATTGGAAGACGCTGCGTTGCTTTGATGCTTATTTGCCTAACGTTGAGCTCATGGCCAATGGTTCAGATATTGGCAGCTCTTTAAAATGAATATCTTCGGTGGCCAGTTGCCTGGGCCGTTTTCAGCCAGCATCACTACAGAACCTTTAATGGTCTCATATCACCCGACTGTATAACAATTCTGTGTCACATCTGAATGGATCAAGCGCCTTGCGCTGTTTATCTCTTATAAATCGTGGCATAAGCGCGGCGCACGTTCGTCAGCACTGTGCGGGAGACTGATCCCGCTCTGCTTTGAAGCGCGGCGGGCGGATGCATCGAGTAGCACTGCTTTGCGGTTTCGCATGCGCTGTAATTTAAAAACAGCGCCTAATATCATGGAGGTCTCCCTTGTTTCGGCGATCGGCCCACTACTCGAATGGAATGTCCCGGTGCTCCCGATGGCCAGTAGGCGATCGCGGGTCCCCCAGACCTCTGGGCCCTATGCACTCTGTCACCCTTTTCCTCCCACTAGCGACGCCCCTGCCGGTTGCACAAATAGCATGTATAATAAATCGCAGCAGATCTATACATGTGGAGCTGGGGAAGGTGAAAGGTTTCAGAGTAACTCTGAAAGTGTGCCGTGAAAAGCTCTAGTGAATGCTAATCAACCATTTAAATGTGACCCTGGACCACAAAACCAGTCTTAAGTGTCAATTTTTCAAAATTAAGATTTATACATCATCTGAAAGCTGAATAAATAAGCTTTCCATTGATGTATGGTTTGTTAGGATAGAACAATATTTGGCCAAATAACAACTATTTGAAAATCTGGAATCTGAGGGTGCAAAAAACCTAAATACTGAAAAAAATCGCCTTTAAATTTATCCAAATGAAGTCCTTAGCAATGCATATTACTAATCAAAAATTAAGTTTTGATATATTTACGGTAGGAAATTTAC